ACTGTCATCATTTATTCTCCCTCATGTTGTTTCAAATCCATGGCTTTGGTTCATCTTTGGAACACAAATTAAGATATGTTTTAATGAAATCTGAGAGATTTCTGTCCCTCCATTGGAAGTCCACATAAAGTCAAGCAAAACTTTGACGCTTAAAGATATTGTAAAAGTAATACATATGAATCGAATCCAGCTCTTCTGAAGAGACACGTCTGCTTTGTATGATGAGCAGATTTAATTTAGGCTTTTATTGACATATAAACTTTGATCATCAAATATGGTAAACAAATGCTCAAACGTGTTACTGCTAAAGCACAAAGCTAAATGAAAAGAACACAAACACCGTTTTGTCGCATCTCAGGGAAGTGATACAGATTGTATGTTTCTTCATGGACGAAGTCTAGAGTGAGTTTCCCGTGAAAGAGTTTGTTCAGTGCAGGATTATTCAGACGGATTCAAACACAGTCCAAGTGTCCGTGAATCTGATTACACTGGTTCCTCTGTCTTTCTGATTCACTAAAAAGAACTGGACTACAGAAAGATGTGTTTCCTTGCCATTGTTCTGCAGTAAAGCTCTGTTTATGTCGTCACATTGAAGCGCTGCCGCAGCTTTGTGTGTCAATGTGAACAGTCACATGTGTTTATTCTGTTGTGAGAGATTAGTTTCAATGAAAACTTTTGGGGCTTCAGATTAACTTAGAGTATATATTTGTAGGCACATTCTTTATTCCTGTAAAGCCTTATAGGGGAATAATAGCCAGAAAGGATTTTTTTTTTTTTTTGGAAATGGACCACTTTACTGAAGCTTTTTTTTTACTGAAAAAAAAAGGAGATCAAGGAAACTGTATTCTCTCATGAAATGACCCTTTAAGGACACATTTTTTTTTCTGAGTCCATTAGAGGGCCGTTTTTGGTTTTAACTCCGACCTCCAATTTTAGTAAGTGCGTCAGAAAGCAAAGCAAATCCAATTTAGGAGAAAAACAAACCGAGAGTAAAGTGGTGTTATAGTCTAAACATAAAAAACAATTGATTTAATCAGAGCGTCTGGGCTGATGTGTAATCAAACACAGTGATCTCTACAGGCAAAAGAAAGAAACAGAAGAGACCGAGACAGAACAGGAGACGAGCCGGAGATCAAAGATGCATTGGGTTTCTTTATCAAATGCCACCGTATGTAAATGAAGCCGTCAGGAGCACTAACCACACACATGATAAAGGCCTTTAATCTTCTTGAAAATGCCTGTCATGAGGTGCTCATTTAAATAACTCAAGACACAGAGTCTACAGAGAAAAACCCGAAGAAAACACATCACGACATCTAGCTCCTGCAGTCACACGCTTCAGCTCGTGTCAGGATGACCTGAACCCTGCTTTCACTCAGGTCCAGTATAAGATTCTTCTGCTGAGGGGCTGCAAGCAGGATTTCTAATAATTAAATGGACAAGCCGCATGGAAAAGCTTGTTTAGGTGATGATGATGTGCCGATTAAAGGTCATACTGCACTGATGCACTGGACTTGAAGTCTTCTCAAGTTATATGATGCTTTGTGTGAGAAACACTGAAAAAACAAGTTATTCTCTAAACATCTTTCCTATGGGCCTTCATGCCATTTCAACACATACTATTCAAACCTGGCATACCTATTGTGTTATGCGACACAAACAAAACAATGTTTTGAAACTTCAAAACTTGCATGAATTCCCATATTTTCATGTTTGTGAGAATTGATAATTAGTCAGTAATGCTGATTTTGCTTCTGAAGAGCTGTAAAGTGTGCGAGTTAAAGTACTTTTCTTTAGACTTATTTATTTTTGGGTCATTTTCTGGGTCTCCTATCATTGCTAAACTTGTTTCCCCAAAAGAAATAAAATCCTTAAGGGCTTTTCACACTGAAGCAAAAATCGGCGTGATGAGGCTTTTGAATCGAAACAATAGATCCCCAAGTTTTTTTTTTTTTATTTCTGTGTGTCGATTTTTTCCCCATCGCTCCTTTTGTGCTATATATACATAACTGGTGTTAAACCATCCCAGTCTTGGTAGCTGCACTAACATCAGTTCATCATATTAACAATGCATCATCATCATCAACTTCAGAAACCAGCGGAAAAAATTAGACACACACAGACACAAAATCACTTTTACACTGAACCTTTGTACTATTTGTACTTCACCTTGATTAAAACAATGTATATATATCAGATTTCCAACAAATATGTGTTTGAATGCCGATGTATTAAAGATGCTGTTTGATCAGATGCTAATGAGTCAGTTGAGCTTTCGGACTGCAAGACAATGTTAGCGTGTTTGAAACAGAAAACTCATGTAACTACAGAGAAACCAGCGGTGATTTCCCCAAGGAGTGTCTGATTTAAGATTTACCATTAGCTTCAGTGTTTAGTTTGCAACGGTTAAAAAGAAAGCTCACAAATCCTGTCATTTACTCGCCCTCATGTTGTTTCAAGCCTGTATGAGTTTCTTCTGTTGAACACAAAAGATGATATTTTGAAGAATGTTGGTAACCAATAGCTGACGGTAGCCATTGACTTCCATTGACTAGAAGTCATATACTACGGCTACAAGCAACTGTTTGCTTATTTCACACATCAACATATCTTCTTTTGTGTTCAGCAGAAGAAAGAAACTCATACGGGTTCGGTTGAGTAAATGACAGGATTTTCATTTTCAGGTCACTATCCCTTCAGTAAAACACAGACTGCAGTGAGTCAGAGCTTCTGGTGTCTGTCACAGAGGTCTTTTTGCACGCAGATGAAAGAGGTCAGAGACTCCAGGCCATGATGAGAGAGAGTTTGTGCTGCTGTTCATCAGACTGCCTTCTATCTTCCAGCAGAGGAAGAGCTGGCCCTGACTCCAGACTCTCGGCGAACAGCCATTCATCTGTGAAGTGCGTCAGTCCAGATCACACGAGCCGTCAAGAGACCAACGACACGCGTGTTAGTGATGCACAACTCAAGCCTCCACCTCTCCTCAAACAGCAGACTGGGAGTCTTGAGACACATGCATGTTGTTTAGAAAGAAAACAGTGTTTCCATGCGGAAAGCTTCATCTCCAGAAGTGTGTAGTGTTTGTAATGACTATCAAATATGTCGAGCCTCTTCATTTACTGCTGCACTGATTACAGTATCCTACTCAACTACATCAGAAATAGGAATATAGGCTTCCACTTTACCAGGATAAATGAGCAAAACCATAAAGAATGAGCAATCTCCTGTTGGAGTCGCACACTAGGACGCAAAAACTGCTCGCACGCTCAGACATCACAAAACTACCGAGGTCTTTGTATTATTACACAGCTCTCTTTATCCTGATTGCTCGGTTGCAGCATAGAGACTGACTGACATAAAAACAGCCTCGGAGAACTTCAGTATTACTTTTGCAATGAATAAAATATGGTTGAGAGTCTCCAGTTAAAGCAAGAAAAACGCTGAAAATATGAATGAAAGGAGTATGAATATTGCAAAGTTTTTGTTGTTGAAGTGGACTATCACTTGTATCATGCCTATATTTCAGCTTCCAGCCAAATAGACCACTGTAAGTCACTGTATTTTATGGACCAAAGACAATTTTTACATGCATTAAACGTGTATTCAGCAGTTTTTTTTTTTTTTTTTTAAAGCTTTAGGCATTAATAAATAAATACACAAACCAACAGTTTTTGTTTAGAATCATCTGAATGGTACACACTCACATGAGATCAAGACTGCACTTAAATCATTTCATATACAAACTGTTTTAATTATATGGTGAATTCAGGTAAAATGGGACACTTTGGTGGGGGGGTGGCCAATAGTCCTGAATTAAACTTGTATGGGACAGGTCGCTTCCCTCAGTGATGCCCAAGTTACTTCTTTTGTGTTGGACAGGTAAAGAAGTTCATTGTTGTGTAGAGCACTCTCTAAAACTCAGTAATATCAGTGTAATCAGAGACAATCATGCTGATCCATGTCAATAGATGGCAGTGCGGCGTCTAACTTCACTGAAGAACAGTGATGCTAATGCTAGCTGAACAACTACTGAATGCACCTTGAATTTCAGACCTGAGTGCAACGAATAATCCCATTAACCCCCCCAAACACACAGCCAATCACTGAAGATCAAGCATTATTAGAGAATAAACAAACTTTAATTGGAAGAGTGTTACACAATGGGTCGGGTCGGGCATAAAAACATGACAGATCATCCAAAGCTGCTTAAAAAAGAAAGAGAGAGTCAATTCTACCATTAACTGCTATACACAAGGTTGATGGAGCAGATAGGAGCCGGGAGAGAGAGAGAGAGAGAGAGAGAGAGAGAGAGAGAGAGAGAGAGAGAGCGGGGAGCGCGGACAGAGAGAGAGAGCAGGGAGCACGGGCCTCGCTCGACCGCTAAAAACATCAGCGCTGGCAGTTCAATCTCATTTGTTAATTTAATCAAAAGTTTCTGAAACAGATTAAAAAGATTTAAAAGGGCAAAGAGAGTGACCTCGTGGAAAATCATCTGATTTAAAACAAAGAAAAAAAACAACAGGTTTCGACAAATATATATATTTGAATATTGGTGCCAGAAAATGTCTGGAAATGAGAAAGTTCCCAAAGAGCTGCCTAGGTTTCATGGTGAATGGAGTTTTTTGCGTTGCATCTTGTCGCTGAGAGGTAGAAGCTGCTGTCCTCTCCTCGGTGGAATGTTTGAATGCGTAGAGGAATGATTGGCACCGCCGTCCACCAATGACAATCACACAGTGCCACCGTCCTGTGCTGGCCCCTTACAAACACACATCCATCTTTAGCTCCGCCCCCATCTTCAGCTCATCTTCATATGCTCACATGCTCCTCCTCTTACTATTACACAGTACTCCACCACAAAGTGATCCATTACTCTTCATGAACTAGGAATGTGAATTACTACTGAACAATACAAACAACATAAATCTGGTCTTCAGAAATGGTAAAGACGATCTTTTGAGGGAAAGAGATAAAACGAAGACTAAAAAAAAAAATGCTACAAATGTTAGCTAAGTGGTTCTGGTTGTGAAAGACAGAAGATGAAGATGTATTTCTGTACAGGATCAGAGCTGCTCTTCTCTCCTCCACACGTCCTTCGCCGGATGAAGGGATGAACTCTGAGCCGCACTTCAGCTCTGCGAGAAAAGACAACGCAAACACAGTTACTACACAGATCTCTCAAATCACAGTCATGAGGAGAGTGGGGTAAGATGCGCCACTCTTACCAAAGCTAGGTCAAAACTAGTACCTCCTAATGATCTATTAGCCACAGAAATATACGCTCTACATTATAAACATATTCATGGTACTATCACTCGATTCCTTCACCCACATTCTGAAGAAATCGAGCGAGTCAGTGATTCAGTCAAATATTCAGATTCACAAATACAGTCACTGAATCAATCAGTCAATTAACAAGTCGGTTGAATGAATGATTCAATGACTCACTCATGAAGACTTGCTCACTCATGAGCGACTTGCTGTCACCTACTGGAGGTTTTATTTTCATATTTAGAGTATGATTTTCCACCCATTTTTTAATCATTTTCATTTATGCAATGTGGAATCAACATTTTTCTTTTTAAAGCTAAATTTTTGTAACGTCTTTTCCAATGCAATGACTTTAATCACACATTTGACCCCCCCCCCCAAAAAAAGAT